GAGAGAGAGAAGAGGGGGGGGGGGTGGAGAGATCTCCTGACCCTTTTCTTACCTTCGGTCAATGCTGGACTCCTTCGATCAATGCTTGCATGCGTTTGATTTGTAGTACTCGACATATGCACTGTTTATGCACATTGATTGTTGGGCATTTCCTTTGTTGCACGTGTAACCGCAGTATTCGACATATACATGTACCGTCAATCTGGCTTCCCTTTCTCTGCTCTTCTACAACTCAGCTTTTGCTTCTCTAGTAGTTAGATTAGAACACAAGCGTGTTTTGCTTTCTGTCCTCTTTTTCCTTTGTGCGGATGCTCTGAAAAGAACTACATTCTTTCCCCTTGTTCGTTAGATCGCCTCTAAGCTCCCCCCCCCGCCCCCCCCCTTTCCCTTCTCTCTCAAGGACCCACCCATAGAATGCCTTTTTTTTATTTATTTAAAACCCATAGTATGTCTTAGTACGGCTGCCGAAGGAAGTGTTTGTTGCCGTGCACATGGGGCTTCCCTAGCAGTGTCAAAATTGGTATTCAGAGGGGTATTATTTGGTAGATGTCAGAGTGGCGGTGATCAGTGTCCGAACTGTGGAAAGCCAAGGACCAGTTGCGATCACTGGGGTGCCTTCCTTCATTTCGTACAAGCACGACATTGTGAACAAGTGGGAAGTGCTTGAAGAAGGACCGTGGGGTCTGGAAGAAGCATGGCATTTGTGGAAAGCCCAGGAGTGTTCTGTAAGCCAATGGGATCACTGTCCGAACTGTGGAAAGCCAATGGAATCACTGTCCGAACAGAATTTCAGCATTCGTAGAAGCCAATCGAATCTCTGACTGAACTGTGGAAAGCCGAGGACCGTGTTCTGGAAGAAAAGCATGACATTGTGAAAAAGTGGGAACTGGGAGGCTTACTCTAGAATTAGACAGCGAGCACAGATGTCTTGCGTTGGCTGAAAAGAATTTCAGCATTTCCAAAAGTATTGGGCATTCCGTTTGTGTTTTTGGTTTTAATTTGGACCATTTCTCTCGATCGTTCCAATTTTGACGAATGCCTGGAAGGACGAGAGTATTGGGCATATTCCCCAATGGTCACGTTAGGCATTTTTAGAAAAGGCACCCCTGTGTCTCTCTGTACTTCACCATGTGGCAAGCCTTATCCTCTTTGACTCTTATGAAACTAATGGTTAGGTTAGACATTCTAAGAGGCACCACTGTCTCTGTCGTTGAGTATGTGGTAAACCTACTCCTCCTTACTCTCTGAAACTATGTCTCCTGGGGGGACTGCCCTCGACAGCCGTGCGGCATGGGTCCCCCCTAAGACCGTCTCCAACTTACACAACCTAAGTTACGTAACCTATGTCTCGGGCCACAAGGGTAAGGCTGACCTTCTCTTTACTTTTCCTGCCCCCTTCTTCCTTCCGCTGATCATGTCAACTCTTGCTTGCCGATGATAAGCAACAGGACTGTTGCCCCTCAGAATAGATGGGACGTGTGTCTTGTTAAAAAATAAAAATAAAAAATATTGCACGTTCACGCCGTTCAGTTAAAAAAAAAAAAGAAACCATGTTACAATGTTACGTTTTGGTTCGAAGTTCATGGAACTGTCTATGCTGCATGCTATGCTCTCTCTCTCTCTCTCTCTCTCTCTCTCTCTCTCTCTCTCTCTCTTTCTCTCTCTCTCTCTCTCTCTCTCTCCCTCTCTCTCTGCGTGTCTGCCCCCCTGCACCATGCTCCCCCTGGCCCCTTCACGAACGCATTTTGCAGCCCCTGCTACAAGTGTGGCTGCGGCTGAGATGTGTGCCCTATGCTTGTGGTCTAACTACTCTCTGTATCCATACATCCATACAGAAGGCATCGATAACACCCTTCACACACTCTTTCTCCCTTAGCCCTGTGCAAGGGAAGCATTGTGTAACACCCCTCGAGAGTTTTTCTCCTTGCTTGCCTTCATGTGTGAGAAGCATCATGTGATGCTACTTCACAGTCCCCGTACTAAACACCCCAGCTCATGGAAAGAAGGTGCTGGACGTGCTACCCGATCCTTCGCTCACCCCTGCTGTGCACCCACTCGTGTGATGCTCTTGATGCTCACTCTCCTCTCCCCCAAAGAACTATGAAGCATCTTGCAATCCCCTGCAGTGCGCCACCTTGGAACGCATCTCATTACACCGTTGACACTCGTACAGAAAGCATCGTAGTATGTCGCATGGCTTTTGCTCCCTTCGCTCTGCGCATCCTGGCCCCATTGAAAGAGAATATCCGCTCCTGCGCTCTCCACCTCCTCCCCCCACCCCCCCATGCACATAAAGTGTCTTGCAGCACCCCTCTATGCTTTCCTCTCTCTCCATTCATGTGTGCCCGCAGCCCATGTGGAGGAAGGATTGTGCGACCTCGACACTCGTCCCCCAGAAAGCTGTGTGTGTAACTCATATGGAAGCTCATTTAGGAATCTTCATGTTTTGAATTCTTCTTGCAACACCCATCGATGCTTCTCACTCCCTGATGTGTGGAAAGTATTATTCTTTGCGATGTCTCTTCCTCATGTGTGCAAAGGATTGTGCAAGCCCCACTCATGTAAAATATCCTGCAATGCCCCTGCATGCCCTATCTCCTTCCGTTGTCACCCGAATCGACCGCCCAGACATTATAGCTGTATTTGGTGCAATTTTCAGTCTATAAGGACCAGGCATTCTATTCGGGTCTAGACGGTAGTCACATGATTAGCGATTTCCGCAGTGCTGGGGGAGATCATCCAGCTGTCCTTGACACTCACTCCCTCTCTCCCAAATGCAGGGAGAGGGTCTTGCAATGCCTCGGCACTCCCCCTTCCTCCCGGAATGCACCTGAAGCATGATGTAACACCCATTGGCACTCTTCCTCTCCCACCTCACTTGAGTGAAGCACAATGGATCACTGGCACTCTTCCTCTCCCACCTCACTTGAGTGAAGCACAATGGATCACTCCTTGATGTGTGTTTGTTTGTGCATGCAAGTGTGTGTGTGTGTGGTGTGTGTGTGTGTGGTGTGTGTGTGTTTGTGGTGTGTGTTTTTGTGTGTGGGTGTGTGGGTGTGTGTGTGTGTGGTTGTATGTGGTTGCAGAGCAGGTAGAGAGAGAGAGGATGAGCATGTCACTGAAACATGGGGATATTCTGGTTGTTTTCCAGGAGGAAAGAGGAAATTGTGGGTGAGGTTCAAGAACAGCAGGCCCACTGAAGTGGAGGTCTCAGATACTGATGTCCATGTTGATCATCTGAAGAAGCGACTGAAGGGTTTGTTTCCGAGACATTTGAGTCACATCGAGGCATTTGAATTCTGCATCAAGCAAGATGAGACTGATACAGAGGCAATCCCAGAGGACACGATTTTAGACCAGCTCAGGTCAATAAATGGTGCAAGCTCACCCCTCATAATTGATGCTCCAGAGCCACGTAAGCAATCTATCTGATCTTGTGGTGCCCCCTTTGGTCTCTCTAGAGGAAGCCCTCCATCGTGCTGTGCTCTTATACACATCTAGATGTGTATAAGAGACAGGTGGTGATCATGGCAACGATGATGATAGAGGGTGATGATGATGATGATAGAGGATGATGATGATGTAATATGATGATGTGGGCAGTCGGTTTGGTGTAGGGTAATGTACTGTGCAGTATACTCCGTATAGGGTGTTTTACTTTTTTTCTTTTTTTGATGTAGGGTGTTGTACTTCGCATGGTGATGAGGGAGTGGTTTTCTACCGCCAGCTTTTCTTGCGTAAATTACTTCGTTTCTCATTCCTGCCGCCGCCTCCGCCGACATTTTTCATTCTTTCTAACGCCGATATTTCCTCCCCCGCCTCCCACCCCCCGCTTTCCCCCTCTACCTCCCCCCTCCTCCTCCCCTTTCCCCCCTCCCCGCCGCCTATGCCCCGATGTTTATTCGTTTCCCGTTGATATTCTTTATTTTCCTCCCCCCAGTGTTTTTTTTTTCTTCTTTTTTTTCACTTTTTTTATGCGTGTCATCCTTGAAAGCGCAGGGCCATGCTAATCTTCTCTTTCTCTGTATCGGTCCAAGTTTAACGGATGTCCCCAAGGACCCCCAGTGTTATTTCTGTTTCTCACAGGGGCAGATATTGGGCCTCGCTGCACTACTCTCGAAATGTGCAAAACGAGAGTGAATCTTCCGCTAGAATATGGAAAGATACACGGCCATGATTTTTGTCTGTTGTGCATGTCGAGAGTAGTGCAGCGAGGCCCATTGCCGTTCTTTTTCCTTTGTTGGGAAATCAGCGTACTATTAGTTTTCCCCGCCGATATTATTTATTTGTTCTCCCATCCCTCCCGCCTACTCCCCCCCCCCCCCCCCCCCCCCCCCCCCCCCC